CACGATCCTGCTACCGTTCGAAAGGAATTTCGACCCGATTCCTTCCACGCAATGGATGCGAGCCAATTGGGCACACAGCATTTCTTTGTCGGTCGCATACGCGTTGATCATTCATCAGGGTCAGAAATGGATGCTGTCCCGGCCTCCGCTCCTACTTAACCGGTCGCTGATGATGTGGAACATCTTACTGGCGTTGTTCAGCATCATCGGTGTCGCACGCATGACCCCTGAGTTCATCTACGTGCTGCGGAAGTACGGTTTTCAGTACAGTATGTGCAACGCCAGCTATGCGCAAGGAGTTACCGGATTTTGGACCGAGATGTTCGCCATATCTAAGGCATTAGAACTAGGTGATACAATTTTCATAATACTGCGAAAACGGCCGCTGATCTTCTTGCACTGGTACCACCACATCACGGTATTGGTGTACACTTGGCACGCGTACAAGGATCATACCGCGGCCGGTCGATGGTTCATCTGGATGAACTATTTTGTCCATTCGTTCATGTATTCTTATTACGCGGCTCGTTCGATGCGCATACGTCCACCGAAGTCGATCGCCATGTGCGTCACCATACTGCAGCTCCTGCAAATGGTCATGGGTTGTTTCATCTCGATCAAGGCGCACCATATAAAATCTGCCGGTGGCTCTTGCCAGCAGACGTTCGAAAACCTTTATTTTTCGTTCATGATATACTTTTCCTATTTTCTACTGTTCTCTCACTTTTTCTACCAAGCCTACCTGCGTCGAGGTAATCGCTACGCCGTCGGCAAGTACGAGTCCGGATCGGTGATCATCGCCTCGGACAAGACCGAATAACGAACGAGAAACGGTCATCGTAGTTATCGTCAGTCGTCGACTTTCGCTACGTCATCCGTATGAATAAATTGCGCCAAATTGTCGTCGTAATCACGCTGAACAGACCCTACGAGTGTCTGCTGCCATGTTTTCGTGTTACCTTCGGCGTTGTGTTCTTCGTCGTCGTGGTTATATGCTCACATGTGCTCATGAAATATGTTCTTCATAAGCATTTGTTACCCACTTATAGTTCTGTTTATAGCGAAATTTACTTTCTCGTTTCTCATGTGCTAGTCTTGATTATGTACTGTATGCGCCCGATATCCTCATCTTCGCTACTTGACCGCTGGCGACCTCACTCTTCGTGATTTTTGTGATCTGTGTGAGCGGCCAATCACCATTGATCCCGTTTCCTGATCAACAGGCTCCGTCCGGTGGCTTGCGACGTGCAATCGAATAAACCTGTTATTATCACTAGTGATGATTCGCTGATTCAAGTTTTAATGTCTCGTTTTCGTAGTCGTTATTCGTGCTCTTTGTATCAGTTTTTGACCGGTGTCAGTGTAGCTAATACTACCTTTGTCTGAAAATTATCATTTTTGTACCGCTTTTGTTGCTGATCTACCGGCGTTGTTATTGAAATCGGTGAATGAATGAAATTTCGAAACCTGGCTTTACTTTCTAAGTTGGCTATTTCCAACAATTCAATTTTAACTATTTTAATCTCATCTTACATCAGATACCCGAACAACTGCCATACTGTTTCGGCTCCATTTTTTGTGGCTGAAAATGATTTGCTCTCGTGAACAGATGATGAGAAAATATGAAAGCAGAGGCATTGAAAATAAATCACTATGTAGATTTGGCAAATTACCTGTCGTGTGTGTTGGTGTGCTGTTAAGGGTTCGGAGCGGAGTTTCTACCACGAATAAGATTTGGCTTTACGTGTGACTAAAATACTTTTAAGGATTTCTTCATCTAGTCTCTTGTATTCTGACGATGGTCCTGAATTGCCTTTTTAAGTGGAAAGCAGTAGTTTAATACGGAAAAGCTGATATGCAAAACCAATCTCTTAACTGAAATGACTTGAATGTCTTGAATCGGATGTTACTCTATGCTTGATTCAGGTTACCTCATGACCTGGGAAATTGGCGGAACAGTGCAATCTGATGTGAACATTCCCATGTTAAAAAAGTGGTCAAAATCTGGCTTACGTATCGGTCACCGTGCTGTGCACCTTGCCTATACTTTCCTCCGCTGGTTCTGAAAGAAATACTTCTCGAGTGAGTTATCACTTGGTTAAAGAATGCGAAGGTACAAACTTTAAGGAACTCCGGACGCGGCGCAGCCAAACGGACAAATAAGATTCAGAAGTGGATTTACTACCACAGATTACTTCCGAGTGGTAGTCACATGTTATTCAGACAGATAGCTTCTATCAGTTTCATTGATCTAAAGTTCATCGATTTGGAGAAGGCTTTCGACATTTGTTCTCTCCTCGATTCCTTGAGGATCCCGGTAATTATTAAATAACAGATGTCTCGTCGCCACCATTTGGTGGAAGGCCACTGCTAATGGGAAGCTATACAAGTACACAAGCACGTTCAAAGTCGAAAAGGATGATACAGAATTACTACAGCCCTAAAGGGTTTTTCAAGACACTAGGAAAAATTACGTCTTGAATGTTATGGGAACTATTTAAGTCATCTGCGGTTTGCGGTTGACATTCTAGTGTTTTTAAGGGCACCAAGAGAAGTCCAAAGAAAAATCCAGTAGTCGACGACTCTAGTATGAAAGTAGGGTTGAAAATGAAGTTGAAGAAGACTCAGATCATGTTTACCAAATACCAAGTGACCTCTTGAAGTGTCATGAAGAAGTACGAACTTACGACTGGGACAGCTCGTCTCTGACGGAGAATAGAATTGAGGAAATTACAGAAAAAATGGCATGGAGCACGTTTGGAATTGCTCAAATTCGAAAAACTACCTTGAACTCGAAGCAGAACGATTTTATCCGGTATATGCTCTCACTGAAAAGTGATTGGTGCGGAATGTAAATACTAAAAGTCTACCACTGTGCGGTCTAAAGCTGCAGACTGAACAACGCAGCAAAAAATTGTATACTTGGAATAATAAGAAATGATATGCATACGAATGAGTTGGCAAGAGCACAAACAAGCGTCTACGATATCATCGCATGAGCGAAGAAATTAAAGTGGCAATGGATAGGATACTTGGCAAACAGAATCGGCAGTTGCTGTACAAAGGAGAGAGACTAAGTTCTAAATGAAGGCAAACTGCGAGCAGAAACATCACTAGATCACTGGCATGATAATCTAAAGAAGTCCGCTCAATTAAAATGGCAGAAAACAGGTTTATGGGAAAGTCTTTGAGATGCCTTCATAAAGGGATGGATTGCTTACTGCTTGAATAGGATCGCTGAAGAATTCAAAAAGAAGAAACTCCATAAGATCTGTGCACATATTGTAGGACAGCGAACAGAGTCGCACTCCAATACTTAGAGCTAATAAGAAAAGAATCTACAATTACGAAGTAAAGATAAGCAGAAAGAAGAATATATCGAATCTGAACAAATTTAAGTATTATTGTTAAATATCAATCGGCTGAATGCAGAAAACTGTTATCCTGCATGATTACTGTGTGTGGATTGCACAGACGACCAAAAGTGGCAATGTTCTGGAAATTTTTAACATGAATAGTTGTTTCGGCCCAGGAATGCAGGTCACGAACGATTGAACCTACCGATCTAGCACTGATCACAGGATTACTGTAGGCGTCATTTTATAAGGACAAGGTAAAGTTCAACGGTGAAACGTAACAGAAATACGTAAGCTGGAATAAAAGAATTCATGCAAAATGTGACAAGGAGTATTTTGACCTAGCTGTCATGGAGAGGCATCCAAATTACAAAGCAGGACAGACGAAAGACCACGAAACGAAGCAATTCAGCTATGGTGAATTCGAAATAAGCTGACGATAGTGCATAATATACGTCGCTCACAGAATTTATATTCTACAGCCTTCAACTGCAATGAAAACCCCTCATTACCTGTTCTCCTGCTTCAAGTCCTTCAAATTAATCTGACTATCCTTGACGATTCTTGTTAAAGGCACTAAATACACCAGCCTCTGGTTTTTTTGCCAATTGTTTTTTGTTTAAGACAAACCCTGAAGATTCTCTTGCCGCCACTACGGAGAAAAACTAATGCATTTTCTTGAGAAATGAGGATTTACCTAGTTCTGGTCCCTTTTTTCCTGTAGTTTAAAAATCACCTAATACTTTTAACTTTCGAGCAAAATGCTTGCCTTGCCTACGCAATTTTATGCTTACTGTATGAGGCTTTTGCATGCTTAACTAGTGATCGAGAATTAAACGGATACATTTCGAAAGTCGCATTGTTGGCAGCTAGTTGCGCAAGTAAAATTTCAAGTTTTCTGTTCAAGAAGATGACAAGCAGAAGCACAAATCGTGTAAAAATAAATTTAGCCTCAGAAATGGAACAGTAACCAAAGAGCTTAGTTTGCAGTTGAAATGGTTTTAAAATATTGTAATTTATTTGGAAACATGTATGAGACAAATGAAGATTAATTTTTAAGTTGGAAACACCCTGAAGTCTGCTTGCACTGGCAAATTTTCAGTAAAAATGTATATACAGGAGAAAATACTGAACTGTGGTGTTCCACCTTTGCAATATACAAAGCAACACCTTGTTCAGAGAAGTTCATTTGCGCGATTAATTCGTTCTTCCGACCTTGGGGGACGAGAATCGAGCGATTCAGTTTGTCCCTTTGACATTATTTCAACATTTCTTTTCAATTGCGCAGCAAGTAAACTCAAATTATTTATCGAGGTTTATTTCAGGTGATCATTTTTATTAACGGATGGTTGATCATCGCCGTCCAACGCATACTGATCTTCGGTCGGTATTTCGGTAGTTGTATATTATGCTTTAGAACTTCTGACACCAAGTGATGACATCGCTGCAATATTGGTTCCTGTTTACTTAGTTCAGCGCTGTCAACATTCTAGCTGACCTTAAATCAATTTTAGCAATCGGTTTTCGTTTCAGGTCGCGGAGACAGATGCGTCAGGCAATTTTTCCAACGTTCCCGATCCTGTACCAGGGTCTGAGCTTTGTCAGAAGAGAACCGGAGTGTAGAGCAAAGTCTTTCAGTACATTCGCCTAGGGAAACTTTTGGCTTTTCTTAAAATCTTCTGCCGTTAGGTTCGGCAAGTAGTAGTTGCTTCGCCTACCATTGTGGAGCCATTCGCAACACGTGCCCAAACCATTGCAGCTCTGACTTCTGAATCTATAGATACGGCAGTTGTACACCGACTTTCTGGCAAATATCTATACTCCGGACATTGTCAAAAGAGGTAGCCCCAATGGTTCATCTCAGAAAGTGCACTTCAGCCGCTTATGTGCGGTATCGAGGAATTATATTCAGTGATTACCGAAGGTTAGTAGGGACATGAAGATTGACTCGAATACCGAGAGCTTAGTTTTCAGGTTCAATTCTGTTTTAACCACGGTGGTTCAGGTCATTTCACGCTGAACGTCGCTGGCTCCAATTCGCCGGCCGACTTCTTCTTCCAATTTTCCATCACTATTACATATCGACATCGAAGTATTTGAACTTCTTCACCTGCTCCAGTGCCTCTTCTTTAATCTGAAGAGAGTAACGGGCAGGAGAACGAGGAAACACTAGGCTTTTCATTTTAGTTGCGTTCACACGCATGCTAGTCACGTCGTACTCGGCTGCGAACCTTTCTAGGGAGCACTGAAGGCCGGTTTCAGAAGATGCTAATAAAACAAGGTCGTCTGCAAACAGCAACCTTCTCTTCCCCACATTTCTTACACTAATACACTCATCTTGGCTGCTCGTGATTATTCTATCAATCTAAAACACAAACAGGAGAGGGGGACAAGACCCAACCTTGGAGAAAACCAGTGTTAACGTTCAAAGGCTTCGAATTAACGCCATTTACTCGGTTGCAGT